CATCCCAACCCCGGGAAATGACTTTCTGACTCGGTGTGGCGGGGAGTCTGAGTGCCGTTCAGCCATGTTGCAGGGGGAGGGAGAGATAACAAGCTAACGGCGGGGCTCCGGGGGGTTTTGACACCGACCGACCGACACCGAGGGGAGAGGAGGCGGGAGGGGAGGGGAGGCGAGGGGAGGGGGAAAACTGTGTGCCCGGTAATTTTTCGCTTCCCGCTCGGATGCGGCGGCGCAGAAGCCCGTGCTGTGTCGCCTAGAGACGGAGCTGTAACGAAACGGGCGACGAGGGTAGTGAGTGAACCGAGGCCATGAACAGGCTGTGTGGTTTTATTGTATTTTTTATTTATTTTTATTTATTTTATTTATTTTATTTATTTATTTTTATTTTTATTTTATTTTTATTTTATTTATATTTTGAGTTCCATTTAGCAATTGTTTTTTATTATTATTTAAATATATTTTTATATATTTTTTTAATATATTAATAAATTATTTTTCATTATCTAATTTAAATTTCAACTTAAATCTTTCAAAAAAAAATTATTAGAAAAAAATATATAATTATTTTTATTATTTTATTTTAAAAATTTAAACATTTTTATTATCTTTTTTTACTTTGTTATATTCATTAGGGCTGCAACTTACAGGTATTTTTAGTATCGATTCATTTGCAGATTATTTTCTCGATTAATCGTTTGGTCTTTAAAATGCCCGAATATACCGAAAAATGCTCTTTATAATTTCCCACAGATCAGTGTGATGTCTTCAAATGTCTTGTTTTGTCTGACCAACAGTCCACAATTCAAGGATATTCACTTTACCATCATGTATGACAAAGAAAAGCAGCAAATTCTGACGTTCGAGAAGCTAGAAACAGCATATCCATGTACACTTACTCATTTCATTTGCTCATGATCAACAGATTGATGAACTGAGGAATCGTTGCAGCTCTTGTCAAATGAATTATTTTATCAACCTAATGTAACAATATGGGGATAAAATGAGATTCTGAAAACATTTTTTTAAATTTAATTTTAATTCTACATTCTATAACCTGTTAAAATGTTTTATTGTAGTATTTATACACATACAGAGGCAGGGGAAACTTCTTCACAAATACCAATAATTTGATTTATTCTATGTATTTCTGGACGAGCAGGTGGTAGTTATTTTCTATGTCATTTTTTGAAAAAAAAAATTTTTATATTTAAATTATTCTACACGTTTCAGTAGGAAACAGAGTTGACACGTTAATTATTATATTTTCAGTGCAAGGGCAAGAAGTGATCAGGACTAACAGCTGGTGGCAGGTGGAAGTGATTATTGATGATTATTGATCATAATTGATGATTGTTTTGTTGGTGGGAAGGTCAGGGCAGGAGACAACGCAGCAGGGTCCGTTACCATGGCGATAACTGGGATGATTTATCCCCTTATTATTGGGCCTTTTCCATTCAATAATTTATTCATTCACAGATTCACTTTGTTCATGTTCCTTTTTCTTCTTCTTCTCCTCTCCATCCCCTCCTCCCTTTATCTACCCTCCATCCCTCGCTCCCTCCCTCTCTCTCTCGCTGTCTCCATTCTCTGCTGTCCTCTCTTGCCCTTCGTCCTCGCTGTTTCTGCTCCTCTTTTCTCTCTCTCAATCCATCTTCTTTCCTCCCTCCCTCTCCCCTCTTTCATCCCCCCTCCCTCCACCCATCTCTCTCTCTTCCTCTCTCTCTCTCTCTCGCTCTCTCTCTCTCTCTCTCTCTCTTTCAGGTCAATGAGAGCCAGCAACAGCTCAGCCTGAAGAGCAAATCCTCCCTCGTTTTCTCTCTCTCCAGTTTCTCCTTTACCTCCATCTCCCCTTTTTTTTTCTATCATGCTCTCCTCACTTCCATATGATAAAAAACACAGTCATCTTATTTTAGCTACACTGCCTTCCTCCTCCTCCTCCTCCTCCTCCTTCTCTTCTTCCTCCTCTTCCTTCTCTCCTGCCCTCCTCTCTTCTGAGTTTTGACTCCCTCTCTTTTCACAAACACACACACACACACACACACACACACACTCACACACACCGGAAAATGAAGCGTGGGTCGAGTGTGTTGCAGCCTCCCTCTGATGCAGCCAAACGACACACACACCCTGCAAACGCACACACAAAGACACACACCGGCTGTGATGCTCGCTCGCTGACTGTGACCAACACACACGCCGAACACACACCGGACACACACGCCGCAGGTTCAAGTCCCTTCCCAGCAGCCACCTCTCTGTTCAGCCCTGATGTCAGCACCAAGATGGCGTCCGACCTCCTCATCAGACTGTCAGGTATCACACACACACACACACACACACTGTAAAGTGGCACAAAACCTTTTGAAATGACCTGGTTTTCTGAATTAATTGATCATAAAATCTGATCTGATCTTCATCAAAGTGACAAATGTGGACAAACACAATGTCTCTAAACTAACACAACACACAGACATTTACGATCTCCTTTGTCTTCATTGAACACACCCATTAAACACTGACAGCGCTGGCGGAAGAAGTAAGTGAACCCTTGGATTTAATGACTGGTTCAACCTCTTTTGGCAGCAATAACCTGAAACCAGCTCTTCCAGTAGCTCCAGTGGATCCAGTAGCTCCAGTGGATCCAATAGATCCAGTGGATCCAATAGATCCAGTAGACCCAATAGCTCCGGTAGATCCAGTAGATCCAGTAGCTGGTGTGAGCGTCTCGTCAGCTCCGTCCACAGCACCTCTCCTGGATGTGGGTGTGGGCTCTGACTGGACGGCTCCAGAAGCTGGACTTTCTCTGTCAGTAGATTTACTTTGATGTTTAATGTGATTGTCCTGCTGCATCACCAGCTGCAGGTGGAGACGCTCTGACACGATCCTGGAGGAGACAACTGTTTTCATTATTAATTAATCCTTTAAGACATTTTTCCTTTTGATGATTCCAGGTTGTGGAGTGTGATGAGCTGCTGCTTTCCTCGGTCTAACGTTGTCGTCACATGGATAGTTTTTCTGTTTTGTGCAGCTGGTTGGACAAAACAAGACATTTAATGACCTCACGTTGTGCAGGAGGAAACATGGACGGGAGATTCATTGATTAATCGTGAAAATAATCAGCAGATGACCTGATGATGTTAGTTTCTGCTGTAATATTATTGTATTGTGGACTGTTGGCTGGACCGGACGTTTTGAACATGTGACCTCGGACGTTTTCGCTATTTTATCACCAAATATTTAATTGATTAATCAAACAATTAACATATTGATTGAACTGTTAATTGCAGCACTAACATCCCTATTTTTATCCATTATTGTAATTATTATGAACACAAATATACACACATGCACCAAATGGCCAGAAGTATGTGGACACCTGTGTCTGGTCATGGTTTTGGGCCACAGTTTCCTGTTCATTCATTTCCTGTTTCAACATGACCTTGTGCCACGTTCACGCCGCGGTGGAGATGGGAAAGATTCCTGTGTGTGCACCTTGAGTTGGTTGTGAGGGTTAGACATACTGAGCTTTGACAATAAAGCTCTATATTAATTAAAGCTGGATTTAATCACCTTGAGCAGCAGACGTCGGTCTCAGTCACATACAGTATAACCAGTGTTGGAGCTCACGACTGCTCCTGTGTGTGAATGGGAGTGAATCCCTGTGATCACATGTAGGGCAGCGCTGTGGTTAAATTGTTTATTCATGCATCGCATTGTTTTCGGGCTGCTGACCTTCTTCAGCGCGTGAACTGGCAACAGGTGTGGCTTCCTGAAACATCCGTGCAATACGAGAATAAACAATTGAAGCGGAGAGCTGCCCTACGTCTGATTGTTGATCATCGCCTCGGAGGAGCCAGCACCCATCCCAGCTGCCAGGTCAACATCTGGTGGAAAGACTGGAAGCAGAAGAGTGGAGTTTTAGCAGCTGACTAAAGGCCACGTCAGGAAGAGGACACTGCGCCGACGTCTGCATGTCGCCCAAAATCTGAGTCGCACACACTGTTTCATTGTCTTGATGTTATTAGTAGAAGTGTGTCCACATCCACATCTGCAGGCTGCATCCATCTGAAGGCAAGTGGATGATGCATGAATTGGCCCTAATGCACATGGTTTTGTACTGCACATGTGATGTTGGAGTGTCCACATACTTGTGGCCATGTAACACAAACCTGTCCTGTCATGCTGAGTTGAGTGCAGTTATCAGGCTGTAATGTGAACTCTGCTCTAATGTATTTACAGTTAACTTAAAACAAATTACACTCAGCTCTCTCTCTCTCTCTCTCTTCAGAGGCAACCCAGAAGGCCCAGGTGCATCCTGGGAGCCGGGTGGAGGCAGAGGCGGAGCCGCAGCGACGCGAGGCCCTGCTGGAGGTGCGCGGCGGGCAGCAGGACGAGCCCGGCCTCGCTCTCTCACCGGACGGCCCCGGGGCGAGTCCCGAGCCGCCGTCACTCACACACACGCCTGATGGCAACGCCACCACCGACACACTGGCTTCAGACCTGCTGAGGAAACTGGCAGGTACAGAGTGTGTGTGTGTGTGTGTTTTTGCTAATCAATTAATTGTTCATGTCCTTTTTGCTGCTTTATCCAGTTTCACATCGTAATAAACTGAATATATTTATGTTTTTAACCACTGGTTGAAGAAAACAAACATCTCTTTGGGCTCCGGGAAATGATCATGTTTATTTTTCGCTATTTTCGCAGCGATAAAATCTCTGGTTTAGTCGGTTTATCTCCCAGAGCTCAAGATGACGTCTTCACATTTGCTTGTTTTGTCTGATCAAGAGCCTGAAACCCAAATATATTCAGTTCACAGTGATTTAAAACAGGGAAAGCAGCAAATTTGCTCAATAAATAAGAAATCAGATGATTATACAATTATCAGTGTTGTGTTGGATAATAACAACTGACAGATTTCCCACCAACCGCAGAGCGTCAGGAGGTGAACTGCCATGGCGTCAGGGTCAAAGAAGAAGAAGAGCCGATGGAAATTGACACAATGGTGGTCTCTGACCTCATCCGTGATCGACCAATCACAAAAGAGCCGACCGCACCTTCCCCCAAGATGGCGAGCCACCCCCTCCTCGCCATTAAAACGGAGGACCAGAGCTTCAGTGGCGACAAGATGACGGAGCAGTCGCACCCCGGAGCCAAAATGGCGGAGCAGTGTCTCCTTGGCCTTAAAATAGAAGACAAGTTTTTTACAGGAGGCTGCCAGTCCGGCTCAAAGACAGGGGACAGCGTCGTCTCTGGAGCCAACAAGTTTCAGTTCAGATTAAAAATGGAGGACGGTGGAATCTCCGGGACCAAGATGGCAGACCAGCTCCTCTCCGGAGCCAAGATGGAGGAGCAGTTTCTCTTTAAAGCAAAAATTGCAGAGCGGCCTTTCTCCGGAGCGAAGATGAGCAACAGGTTTCTCTCCGGCGTGAAGATGGAGGACCCGTTTCCTTCTGGGGTCAAGATGGAGAACCAGCTCCTCTCTGAAGCCAGGATGGCGGACCAGGTGTTTTCCAGAGCGAAGACGGAGGAGCAGCTTTTCTTCGGAGCCAAGATGGAAGACCAGTGCCTCAGAGCCGTGCTGTGGCAGGACATGTCGGTGAACCTGGCGTCCACGCTGCTGCACCAGCTCTCAGGTAACACACACTCAAACACTGTCGCCGCTCACACGAGGCCGATGCGTTCATTAGAGTTTTTGATTACACGGCGAAGGAATGGATCTGTCTTCATGCTGTTGTAACGCCTGATTCATTTCTGTCTTTCTGTCTGGGCAGAGAGGGTCAGTAAATCCAACATTCAGCCGGTGGAGAGGTCGACTCCTCCCATCAGAAGCAGGTGACATCCCGCTTCCTGTCATCGATCAGTAATCTCACGAGGGACACTTTGACCTCTGACCTCTGACAGCGTATGTTCTCACATGTCTGTGTTTGTGTGTAGTCCTCTTTTGAAGGTGAATGTGGACCCACTCCGTTCCTCGCCCCTGTTGAGCTCCCAGCAACCTCCACAGGGTAATGTACTGCACACACACACGCACACACACACGCACACGCACACACACACACACAGACACACACACACACACACACGGATCGTGCACCATCACGCGATATAAACCCAGAGACACTGTGTGAGCGCTCGGCGGCTCCTGTTTGCTTGAGGAGGCGTAGATCTTTGAATGTTGACGACTGTCTCATGGGAGAGTTTTTTTATTCACATACTGAGTCACTGTTATGCTTATCATTGATTTGCTGCCTTGCCAATCTCAGTGTAATATGCAGTAATGAAAAATGACACTGTCAGTCAGGGTGGAAGGATTAAAGGAGCTAACAGGCTCAACACCACCGCTGATCCGGCACAGTGTACTTCAGCATTAAGGGACAAGGCTGGTGATCTTCTAACTTCTTCCTGTTATCATTAAATCACATGAAAACACCAGAATCAATAACCTGTTAGTTCATCTTTCAATACTTTATGACTTCACAACCTCAGTTTTATCACGTTACTCAAACAGGTAGAAATAGTGCATTTGCTTGGGGACTATTTTCAGCGGCGGATTGATCCACATTTGGTGTTTGAGTGAGTATTTGTGGAGGATGAAGTCAAAATAAATATTAATAATGATCATGGTAATGAAGGGACGCACCAGTGTGGCTCATTCAAGAGTTTCTAACAGTTTATGGACGACATAATAAGATATATGATTGGCTGACTGTTTCCTGAGTGATCCAATAAAAATAAAGCAGATTTCAGGTAAAAACACTCAGAGAAACCAAATCCTGCAAGAGTTGGATGGTGGGTCCAGGTGGGCGGGCTTGGTGACTGCTTCGTTGTGACATCACAAAGTTCCAGAAGTCCTGACGGCTGGTTTTAAGGCTCAGTTTCTGAATACAGGCTGTGTGCATTTCTCTGTGGACTGAGGCTTTGATACTTTCACAGTATTAATATAGAAGCTAGACCTGATCTATAATCACACAACACATGGACAGAGACCTTTACACTGGAGGAGCTTTAAAAATCTATAGATATCCCTCTGCTGACTTACTTTAATCTGTACCTGTTGCCAGGCGACCAGAGATCACCATCAAGTGCAACTAGCAGTGATATACAGTTAATGTGAGCTTCCTCCCGTGACTGAAGCTAACATGCAGGAGGCTAAAAGCTAACAGGCTAAAACGTTCAGTCTGGTAACAGCATGACGTATGAAATCTGCTCCAGTTTATTATATTAACTTAATTAGTAAATATAAACTCCTCAACATGTCTGAGTTTATGACTTTATTTTGAGATTATTATCACCGTCTGTATTAATCTGACTGCGGTGACTTTCCTAAGCGAGCAGCTGCAGACGTCCTCAGATGAGTTTACACCAGCGCTCGTATCCCGGCTGCACTTACACTGTTGAATAAACACACGGAGGGTTTGAGCGTTGAGTTTGCCTGCAGCGTTTCTAATGCAGCCGTATTGTTATCATTATTACTTTTTAATGATTGTCTTTCAGCGCTCAGCCTTTGTCTGTGTTATGGATTTACGCTGCCATCAGATCGCCCTTTGGGTTTATAATAAAGATGATACTGAAGTCATCTGACTGAACACACACTCACAGGCTCCAGTCACACACAAGTCTTCCAATAATAACTTCCTCTGGGACTCATCATTAGTAGATTTTGGAGTGCACATAAGAAAAAATAAAAAAGAGACAATTCAGCAGAAGAAGATTTATTTCATGAATCACTTAGCAGAATAATAAGCTGTTTTTTTTTTGTTCTTACAGAAACTCAAACCAGCATCAACAGAGATCAAACCACAGGTTGCTCTTACTTCTACAGGTAAGACACTCACCTGTGTTGCTATACTTGTGGGGACTTTAGCCTCAAACTATAGCCACACAGCAAAGGTCCTTACCTGTTGTCAAATACCTGTTGCCATGGCTACTGTCACACATCTGTCACACATCCCTTGTCATCCCGCCGCACCTCCAGGTGTCACGTTTGCGGGTTCGAGACGGAGGGCCGCGCCCTTTTCCAGAGTCACATGACAGAACACCGCCAATGGGAGCACGGCTCCTTCTCGCTGCACTGCTGCGTGTGCGACCACTCGACCAATCAGGAGGCAGAGATGAGGGCTCACGCCGCCACGCACATACAGGGTGACACGGGGGTCAGCGGAGACATGAGGTGGGTTCATCCTAATTCTAATTTGTGTGTGTGTGTGTGTGTGTGTGTGTGTGTGTTTGTGTGTGTGTGTGTGTGTGTGTGTGTGTGTGTGAGAGAGAGATTGAATGATACAGATATTGATATTTGAGAGTTTGAGTATCAGAACAATATATCAGTTATATTTTGTTCTTCACCACGTTCAGGGAAAAGAGATTTTCAAGAATAAAGTTAAAATGTTTTGGGTGAAACTCGTGAAGTTATAAATGTTAGTTTTAATATTGACAGTGAATATTATTCACTGACACTTTAATACTGATTATATTGTGACTTATTCCAGCTTTTCTCTTAAAACAACATGTTTCCTCTTGACTTTGTCCTTGAAACACAACAACATTTTTACGACCTTTTCTCAAATTATAATGAATTTTTCTCAAAATATTACTTTTTTCTGAAAATACAATTTTTTGTGGATTTTTGATTTATTTCTTGAAATATTACAAATTAATCTTTGTATTTATGACTTTTTTCCCTTTTTGATCCTTCCCTTTACTTCTCTGTTTTTATAAATATCATCATGCAGGTGAACGTTACAACTTCACTGCACTGATGTGGACCAACTGTCTGTACTCAGATCAAATCAGCTGATTGATCAGACATGCAGACTGAGCTTTAGATAAATATAAACACATGAAAAAATAATCAGAGAGAGTAATTCACCATTACACTTGACCTGTTTGTACTGAGTCCAGCCTGTCTGTAATCTGCCAGCTGTGACTCATGAAACACACACTATGTGCTGATCTTCATATTAATGTTTTTAGCATTTAAAAAACAACAAAGTGTCATTTTGTACAAACAGGAAATGAGACTCACCGTGTGCCCGCAGACATCGATCAAACAGATTCACTGCTGACGTCAATTTTGGAAACATAATGAGATTCAACGTGTTCTTTCCAAAACACTTTCATTTTATTTAATTCTTCCTGCGCAGAGCGTCTCACTGTGATACAGCAGCAGACATTTTGCTTTTTAATAGAAGAGAAATCTCAGATGTCACTGACGAACATGAACGATGGCTCTGTTGTGTTCAAGTGCTCCGGTAAAGTTGAGCTCCCTCTCTGATCAGGACTTCATCCCCAGTAGAAAACATTCTGACGTCTGCAGGTGTGTGTGTGTGTGTGTGTGTGTGCGTGTGTGTGTGTGTGTGTGTGTCATTAACCCCTCCCACCCCTCCTGACTCCCAGATGCCCCGTCACCCCTCCTGCCACCGCCACCGCTGCCGCCTCCAGCAGCACTCCGGCAGTTGCCATGGCAACCCAGCCGGAGAAGAGCACCTCTGAGCATCGCTGCCGCATCTGCCAGAGGTCGTTTCCAGGGCAACAGGAGCTGCTGGTTCACTTCCAGGGTCATCGCCAAGGCAACCAGTACCGGTGCGACCGGTGCGGCCACCTGACGCGGACAGCCAACAAGCTGGTGGAGCACGTTCGCGTGCACACGGGCGAGCGGCCGTTCACCTGCGACCTCTGCCCCTACAGCGCCAAGCGGCGGGACAGTCTGCGGCTGCACTGCAAGGTCAAACACGCCGCGCACGTCAACGGGAACGCGGCGGACACGCCCGGCGACGTGCACACGCACCGCTCGTACGTGCATGGAGACAATCAGCGTTCAAACAAACACGTTCAGCGGCTGCACACACCGCCCTACACACACACTGCTGCACCCTCCTCCTCCTCCTGCTCCTCTCTTCCTCCTCTTCATCCCTCGCTCTCCGACCGGGCGGGATGGAGGGATTTATCTCCTCTCCTCCCCATCACGACGCTCATCTCTCTGAAACCACGCTCTCCTTCTTCACCCTCCTCCTCCACTTCCTCCTCTTCACCCTCCTCCTCTTCACCCTCCTCCTCTTCCTCCCCTTCACCCTCCTCCTCCTCCTCTTCCTCCTCCTCCAAACACTCCTTTCTTGGTTACCTTGGTCTGACGACTTCTTTATAAAAGCTTTTTTCTCTTTTGTTTCCTGTCCTCTCCTCTCCTTGTCTCCTCTCCTCTCTCCTCCTCTCCTCTCTCCTCTCCTTGTCTCCTCTCTTGTCTCCTGCCCTCTCTCCTCCTCCCCTGCTCCTCCATCCATCCTCTGGACTGTTAAAGTGATGGATGTAAAGCTCTGTAATGTATCCAAGGTACTGTCACTCAACACTATGTATGAGAATGTCAAACAGCTACTGTTATGCTCAATGCACTGAAAACACACAGATAAGGAACGTTTTGACTTTATTGAACTTTTGCATCATGCTCGTGAGTTTTGCTGCCTTCCTGCCTGCTTTAGCCCGTCATATAACCACTGAACTCTTAGCTATTTAATCCTGTGACATATTTATTGCCTGTCGCTCTCGTCCTTCAGAAACCCTGCTCGTGAAAATCCCCTCGTCGCTCGTTTTGCACTAAAAAATAAAAACTCAAGACGCTTTAATGTAAAGATGGTTTTTTTTTAATTCTGTTGTTTCCTTGTGGGGAGAAATTATCTTAACGAGTCATTTAGTCGTAACGTTCTTCTTAAAAGATGAAGATAATTTCACCTGTAGAGGAATCTTTCTTTCCTTTTCTGCTCATGTTTGTTTCGGTTCATCCTGAAGGGATCGTGAATGTTTGTGCCAAATTTCACGGCGATCCAGAACTTTAACTCAGCATCACAAAAGTCGACCTCATGGTGGCGCCGGAGGGAAAGTCCGAGGATCACTGGACTCGGTCGGGTTCTTCCTCTGAGAGCCGTGAATGTTCGGTTTCTGGCAACCCGTCCTGTTTTACATGTTTACCTCGCTGCGCCGGGTTCAGCTCTGATCTGAGGTCAAACTCAATCTTTTTAAATCAATTCTACGGCTGCAACTCACATTTATTTTCATTGTTGATAAAGTCCTCAATTAATCTCATTGTCTGGTTTATAAAATGTAAGAATACACGTCACAATTTCCTTGAACCCAAGGACACGTCTTCAGAATGCTTGTTTTATTCTGACAAACAGAAAAAACCCAAAGATGTTCAGTTTATTATCATGAGGAAATATTCACATTTTACAGTGAATATTAGTAAAATCATTTAGTGGAATATAATTATTTTAAATCAACACTGGAAGGTTTTTCAATCACGTCACGACTCTCTTTCTTCTTCGGGGATTTTTAAGGGTTCAAGGTTTCTGCTGGACAGTGATGATATTTCTAATATTTGTGTTGTATATTGATAATGTATTTGTGTTTACATAACTACATGAGGCTCCTAAGAGTCTAAAATGTCTTAATTTAAAGTTGCACTATATGTAGTTTTGCTGAGACAAAAAAAGAATCATTTTAGAAAACGTAACTTCTTCTTTTTTTCTTTTTTTTTTTTAACTCTTCACAAAAGCAGAATGTCCAGTGAAAGTAAATGTTTGTTTTTAAAAGTGTTGAAGGAAAAATGACGGGCAGACAGATCCAGCAGGTGTGAGGACGCGTCCTGGTCACACGTCAATTAGAAAAGTGAAAACAGAGGGTTAAATTACACTGTTACACGCGCGTTCGTGCTCCTGAGTCAGAAGAAACTGCTAATTACGATAAGTCTGGTATGACGTGAACGCAGCATTAGGCTCATGAGAATCAGTTTGGACCCTCTGTTGCGTCACCTCTCCTGCACGTGCTCACCTGGAGCTGCAGTCACAACCGTCAGTGCAACAGGGATAAATAAAGGTAACACTTGCTCAGTCAATCATCAGAGATGTTTTATTTATTTTATTTAATGCGATACGATCATCAGGTTAAAAAAAGAAATGACTCTCTTCCTTTCTCGTTCGTTTGCTCATAATAACTCATTTGCACATTCTAACAAATAAAGGTTTGATTAAATCACGTCTTTTTATTGTTTTTGTTCTTATTGTCTCTTATTCATGTTGAAATTATTTATGAGATGTAATCGAACTTTATTAATATTCTTTAGTGCAGCAGCTGAGCACGTGCAGTGGAGGTGACGTGCCATTCACTGTGAACCTGCAGAGGGAGAAACCATGTAGTGACAGGAGTCGCCGTCCAAACCTGAACCTGAACCTCCCACAAACCACAGAGCAGCTACCAGAAAGACCTGCACACACACACACACACACACACACGTGTCGTTTTCATATGAAATGTATCTACAGTCAATGGTGCTCGGCTCTGCAGAGCCTGACAGCTGATTTCTGCCTGCACGTTTTAATACCTCCACACAGACGAGCATGAAACACAAAGACCTGCCACCTCTGGAGACTCATGTTCATCTCACATTATTTACTTCAGATCTCTTTTGTGTTCTGTTTTTATCTGCTGTATCCTGTTACTGTTTGCTGCTGCAATGATCAATAAAGTTTAATTTCATCTGATTCTCCTCTGCTCATGCTTTCTTTAGTTTTGGGGGGGTCCTGGTTATGAAATAATCTCAATAAACTGCTGCTGTTTGTAACTTCAGACAGATCATGTGACAGACATGAAGAACACAGGTGTGGTTGTTTTGCATCTCTTTGGGGGGGGGTCACTGCCCCCCCCCCCAGGCCCTGCCTCTGATAACACTGCAGCTGTTTAATCCCACAGAGCAGCTGGAACGATCCAAACAGACTCTGGTTCAGAGACGAGAGAGAGAAACCAGGGATGAAGGTCACACGCCACACTCACCAAACGAGTGGGAGGATAAGTGTCAATCGCCATGGGTCCTGTCCCCTCCTCTCCGGTTGCCACGGTTACCTGGCATGTTGTAGGTCTCCATGGCGGCAAGCAGGAGGCCCGTCGATTGGCCGGGAGCAGCTGCGGGCTCGACGAATCATCGGGCAGCGCAGAGGCCGGGGGGGAGGGCGAAAAAACACTCCCTCACATACACACAAAGGTCATTATTAGATTTCAGCAAATGTTATTAGAGGACAGGAAGGGAGGGGGGGTGGAGGGGGGGTGGTATGTGGAGGAGGAGGAAGATAAGAGACAAAAATGAGGGCGAGGAAGAGTGTTAGAGAGAGGTGAGACAGAGGCAGGAAGAACAGGTGAAGAAGAGGTCAAAGGATAAAAAAAGAAAAGACAGGAGGAAGACAAGTGGTGATGAGGGGGAGGAGACAATCACTCTCTTTCCTCTCATGGACAAAAGGTCAAAGGTCAAGGCCTGACAAGGACATATGTTGTTAGCTTTGTACAGACACTTTCAAACAGAGAGTATTTCAGTCACACAGTAACACTCAGTGTTAACCTTGAATATTTAACAGTTACAGAGGCAGAAAATGTTTGAATATCTCCAATATTTTAACACAGGAGCAGTTTTGGGGAAATCAGTCGCTTCACTGAGAGAGTTAGATGAGAGGGATCATTTAAGTTATTACACTTCGTCCTGGAGGGGACGTGAACGTCTGAACCAAATGTCACGACGGTCCGTCCGACGGTGGGTCAGATATTTCACTCAGACCCAGAAGGTCAGAGGAACACCAAAGTCTTTAGGGTTCATCCTCTGACGATCATGAACGTCTGCACCAAACTTCATGGGAATCCGTCCGATAGTTGTTTCATTAACAACCACAGCTGGTGGAGCTGAGCACCCTCAGCTCTGTGTCCTTGTCAGACAAGTGGTTAATGTTATTCAGCATGTTAATCCTTAATAACACACTTAAATGAATGAATGACAGAAAACCACGAAGAAGAAGAAAGAAGGATGAGCTGAATCCAGATCAGTGGCCACATTACAAACAAACACACGCTCACAGTGTTAGCCAACACCCAATCCCTCTCTCTGCGTCTGAGGCCTCTGCAGGACTGAAAATCAATACTGCTGTGTGGCAGGAAGAGGTGGAGGAACCACACGAGGCCGGAAAGAGGAGAGAAAGGGAGGGATGAGAGAAGGGTGGGAGGCAGGAGGGAGAGATGGAGGGAGAGATTAGCTGAGCCGGTCCCTGTGTAGGAAGCACTGCACAGAAGGAAAGAAACAGTCAAACTATTTATGAATGAAATGAAAGATATGAGAGAGAAAATAACATGGAAACATGAATCACTCTGTGATGCAAAGTAACTAAGTACATTTACTCAAGCACTGTACTTAAATACAATTTTGAGGTACTTATTCTTAATTGAGAACTTTTATAATTAATTTTCCTGCTACTTACTTTACAGATTAAGATTCTACATACAAAACGTGATAAGTTCTTCAAAACATGTTTCATTATTCAGTGTAAATGAACTTTTTATTTACGTGGTGAAATCAGCGGTTGAAGAAGGACTGACATCTTGACCCCCCCTAAAACATTCAGTTTTCATCCAATCTCTGTTCTTCTGCACCATTTGTTCGCTGTGTGCCAGTTTCCGGTCTTCCTAACGTTTTGCAGCTTGATGCAGCCCACAGTGGGCGGTGTCCGGCGGGGTTTCCACACTGTTTTGTCCTTTGATCGACCACGTGGATCTCGGGATTTCGCGGGATTTCCCCCTGCATGTGACAGTCCTGCTCCACGAATCAAACACACCTGATAAAACATGCATGCATGCATGTGTTCAGAGTCAAATGCATCTATAATGATACCAATGTTCGTTAAGTTATGACCTAAATGAAAGACTCTTATTTTGATAACTGTGTGTTACAGGGAAGGTTTTATTTTGAAAAACGGGACGGAAAGTTGTTTTCAGTAAAGCCAAATGAGCTATTTTATTAACTCCTGAAATCATTTTTATACTGAAAGCTCTGACCAGTTATTGTATTTTTGTACTTGTGGGCGAACAAATTTATTTTGAAAGATTTAAACCACTCCATGGTTAACTATTGCAGCTTTTACTTTGGTAGGAAAAAGAGGAAATGCTGCGGCCCGTTGGGTCTAACTTGAAACCGTAGAGGAAGAAGGGGGCGTGTTGCTACTTGCTGTTAGCCTGCCTGCTAACTGCGAGCTAAAGTTGTACTTTCACTTTCTGACAATCAGGAGTAGGTTCTCCGGGACGAGCAGAGCTTCCTGGAAAACGAAACTAGACGTCGTCGTTGCTGTTTGTGACACTCCTTGGATCGTAGATGTAGTTATTTAACATCTTTTGGTGGAGATATTGACAACTCGTAGCCATTGGCGTGTAAAAGTTTTAACCGCTAACCGTCAAAACCGTCAAACACGCAGGTAGCGTCGTTTCACCAGCTAGCTGCAGCGGCTAGCGCCCGCTAGCATGGACGGCGGCGGACACATGCATAATGCAGAGAGGGCAGCGGAGAAATTGATGGATGACTACCTGAAATCATTAGGTTTGCATCGGAAGAAGATAGCGAAAGATGGGTCGTGCTTATTCCGAGCTGTCGCCGAGCAGGTAAAGTGTTACAAGTGAAAACAAAGCGCTAGCTTGAAGTTTCTGATTAGCTAACAGGGCACAGGTGACTGGCTAGACTCGGTCTTTTTGTTGTGCTAATGCGTGCTAACAAGTGTCTAATGTTAGCCGGATAGAAGATGGAAAGAGTAACAATAACTTCGCCACATCCCCAAATCTAATAGTAAAAATAATTACACTTAACACTCATGAACACTTAAATTACAACTTTTGTAATTAAACTCTTAATGTAATGTTGGTAAAGTTTTAAATACTTGGTAAAAGCATGCAAATGATACATTTACATACTTATATGTCCTTTCATTTGTCAGTTTATTAGGTACACGTAGGTAAAAGTAGTGCTGTATAATCCAACAGCCCTTCAATAAATCCTCCTTCACGAAGGTTATGAAGTGATTAAAATAAAAAATAAAAACACCTGTCAGTTTAACGCTGCACCAACTACATCGTCCAAAATGACCATACAGGTGAATGAACACCTCTGTGAAACAATTAAAACATTATAACCTTCATGAGGTGAGGAATTACAGCAGGAATGTTGTATTAAACTGCATTAGTTTTAGCTCGCTGTGTCTAATAAACTGAGACCTGAGTGTATATGTCAGCAGGAGGCAAGGCAGATATATTTGTATAGCACAGTATCATACACAGGCCATTCAATGTGCTTCAGATACATGAAGGAAAAACTATCATAAAACACAGATTATAAAATAGAGAATATATCATTAAAACACAAGACTAAATGAAGGCAGAGGAGAGTAGAGAAGTTTTACCATGTCACCCTGTTTTAGTTTGAACTCTAGGCTGCACCATTAACTGACCGGCTCCTGCGGATCTTAGAGATCTGTTGGGCTCATACACATGAAACATTTCTCAAATATATCTAGGGCCCAGACCTTTTTAGTGACTTATAGATGATAAGTAAAACTTTAAATTGAACTCTGCATCTGACTGGAAGCCGGTGCAAAGACGTGAGAAGTGAAGTTACATGTTCTCTTTTCTTAGTTTTAGTCAGAGGCCGAGCAGCAGCATCTGAATAAGCTGTAGATGTCTAATCGGATTATTTGGTAGTAGCAGTTGTGATTTATGTTACTGTTGACCTCTGACCTCTTCCAGGTGCTACATTGCCAAAGCCTTCATACTAAAGTTCGTGCCAAATGTGTGGAGTTTCTGAAGCAGAACAGAGAGACCTATGAGGCGGTATGTACCTACACGTTTGACTGACACCAAACAGTCCAATGTTTGGCTTCAGACTGGAGAGGGTTTGTATTTTTTTAGTCTGATGTCAGTGTGTGGAGCTCAGCGGTGAGTCATTTCACCGATTTTCCCTCCAAAAGAGACTCACACTGGCACAAAGCGCTCCATGGAGGCCATGTCAAGTTGTTCTATGAAGCAGACTGTCGAGTGAGGCAGCAGCTTTCTGCCTTCGTGTCGTGTCAGGCTGAATGACAGGACGAGGAACTGAAAGCAAAAGTTCATGCTGTTTTTATGATAGTGATATAATCACACCATCACTCCACCTCTTCTCATGCTACAGTGGGGCTTTACTACATTTCCCACAATGCCAATTATGTTGTCTTCAATCAGGTCTGAGTGCACCAGTGGATACAAGTGACTCACATGCAAACTATTCTTTTGACATGAGGCGTGTAATGTCTAAAGGTCAATGTGTCGTGTGGCTGCATCTGCTCTTTTTCCTCATGTAAGAATGTGTCTTTTCGTCTCGTCTTTGAGGGAATTAATTTCTTTACTGTTCGATGTTAAAATTTAGATCGTCAACACAATGAAAATAATGTCACCACACTTGACCTTTAACACCGTCATCCACTGGCAACGATGAGCCAAAACAAACAAACCATTGTTACGACTTCAGCAGCCGCCTAGACGATCATAACAGAACAAAGTGTGTGTGAAAGAGTGTGAGGTACAAACAGGAATCAGGTATCATCATCGTTGTCGTTGTCTGTGTTGTTCGAGCTCACTGATGTGTTTTTTTTTTCCCCAGTTCATTGAAGGTGACTTTGAGGATTACCTGTGCAAGCTGCAGGACCCTCAGGTAAACCCCCCACTGTGTTCAGTCTGTCACCTCACACTGTCTCTGTGATTCATTATGTTTCCTACTTTCACTTATTGATGCACAGATGAAAAGTGATGATGCAGTGAAACTGATGGGATTCTGTTTTTCAGCAATGGGTGGGAGAGGTGGAGATCAACGCGCTGGCCGTCATGTACAAGTAAGTAAAACGTGCAGAGTTTTGAGGCTGAATCTGTGGAAAAAGAAGTTTGTTTTTCTAAAAATAAAATACATTTTCAAGGATCCCTTAAATGAAATCTAGTTATCAAAGTGCTGTGAGTAAAAGAAGAAGTGAACAGGACATCTTTCAGTTTAAAATAAACCCGTCAGCGCTCCCTGGTGGACAGACTCTATAACTTTTCTAAATCATCTTTAACACATTTTTGGTGTTTCTGTACTGACACTTGTGGATTTCTTCTCAGCTGATAGAAACTGATATGTCTGATAAATCAGCTGATCAGTGTCAGTTAATATCAGGCCGATGTCTCACTTCAGCTCTATTAAAGATCTGAGATGAGATGAGACACATTTCCTCATGAAGCAGGATGTTGGTGGGACGTGGTTTGAAAGTGAATGTTGCAAACTTCAAATAATGACGCCCCATAGTGTGACAGGTGCATCATGAATTAACCCTGTTTCACTTACTTTTATCTTATTCATGCTGACCTCTGACCCCGTGACACAGTCACACGTGTTGAGACATGTATGAACGTCCGCTGTCACTCATCCTGTTGGTTTCTGTTCCACAGGAGAGTTTAGACTGAATGTGAAATATTTTCTGGATATGAAGTTTGAAAAAGTGAAAACATCAGATGGTTTTTGATGGTGAGGCGACCACAGTGTTGAATCACAGTGTTTCATCGGCCCAGTTTAACCTGAGGACGAGCTCACCGTGTCTCCTGACGTCTTCGCTGCAGAAATGAAGCCGAGAGGAAATGTGTCAAACGAGACGATGAGAGAGAAGTCTGAGACGCTGTCAGAGGAAATGACTCTGACGCTTCAGCCGTCTGACAGGAGACAGAGAGAGAGTCGAACTCACTGATGTGGGTTTTAACGTTTGACTGCGATTCACGTCGCACTGATACGAGAGAAGAAGAAGACTCTTCTCCTCGGATCAATGGACCTGAGGGAAACGGTTATTTGTGATTTCACCCACATGAAAGAAAGAAGAAGGTTGATGAACGTTGACGATGAGTCACAGAGGCGTCTTCATCAGGCCGGTCATCCCTCTCTCTCTCTCTCTGTCTCTCTGTAGGAGGGACTTCCTGATCTACCAGGAGCCGGGCAGAACTCCCGTCCAGATCACAAACAACAACTTCAAGGACAAGGTGAGACTGAACGCCATCAGCTGGTTTTAACTGCAGCTCTCATGTCGTTCTCTAACCACTGGAGAAGCAACTCATCTAAATATCTACATACAAACATCAGAGAAGATAAAACTCTATTGCCTGTTAGATTTGCATTAAATGGAAAATTATCTTTGACAATCAGGCAACTCATTAAAAACATGAATATATAAAATACACAGAAAGAAAGACAGAACATGATACAAAACCAACATCCAGCACTCGCACACGTGACACGTGTGTGTGTCGTCTCTGTCATTTCATGTGACGTTTGAACACGTCTGTTTATTGGATGTGGATCGTTTGATGTGATAAAACTCAAACAACAAAGTCTCTAACAACCCTTTTTTTTTTTTTTATTTGTCATTAATTTACTCATTAATTTAATTTACTTCATTAACTATGTGAATCCAGCCTCCAGTAAATCGTGTTAACTTAATCATAAAGAGAAAATAACTGATAAAGAGAAGAAGAAAAGTGAAAAGACACTGTGTCTTTAAAAGTCTTTAAAAAACTTATTCTCAATATTCTGAGTAAATATTTGTCCTCGTTAAACTTAATGAGATCAATTAGATCTAGGTCTAAAGAAATGTTAATGATACATTTGTCTTTTAACACCTTTGCCCCCCCCCCCCAGGTGCATTTGTGTTTTCTCAATGGGAACCACTACGACAGTGTTTACCCCATCAGCCACATTAAGAACGCTGCTCTCTGCCAGTGTGAGTTTTTATTGCTTGTTTCACATGTAACTCATTTCTGAGAAAGTCACTTTACAACAGTGTGACGGGACGTGCAGCAGAAACGTTTTCTCTAACTCCCGCTCTGCTCTGCGTGTCTGCTGCAGCCATCCTGTACGAGGTGCTGTACGACGGCGTGTTTAAGGTGGAGCGCAACTCTCTGGGTGCGTGTCAGCGAACACCACGATCCAACGACCTCCTGAGCGACGACAGCATGCCGTTCTGCGCCAGCAGCGACGATTCCGACCTGGATGCAAACGAGGCGCTCAGGTAGGAAACCGATCAGCTCACTTCACAACGTTTTGATTTAACTGATTAGATTTTACCGACTGTGTTTTTGTCCTTTTTAACGTTCAGATATTTCCATTCATCCACATGTTGATTCAACTTGTTTCTGACTGTGAAATAAAAGCGGCAGCTGCTGACGTCGCCTCTGCAGATAATTGACCTGAACACTGAAGTTTACAAGCTTCAGTTATTGATCGGATGTGAATAAGGTTTAACTGGAGGAAGGAGAGAGAAACTCTGGAGATGTTTCATCATTTTCTCAGATGTTGATTGGCGGCTTTATTTCAGTCGATTAGGATCTATTAAAAAGTTCTTTGATGCACAGATTTCTAATAACTCGTTAATTAATTAAAGCTTCAATAAGTTCAATGAGTTCTGTAAATCAAGCGCTCAGTTTTCCCCATAGCAACGTCTTCCAGCTGATGTTTGACGCCTCGGCGTGGGAGTAGTGGTCGACCACAGACGTGTTGATTGACAGCTGTGAGCTCCCGCCCCTGACTTTAGCCTTCTCTGATTGGTTGGAAGGTCGAGCCTCAGATCTCTGCACTTACTGAAGCTTTAATATCACAGTTAATTGACTTTATTTAGTTGTTCCTTATTTATTTTCTCAAAAAAATAATTTCTGCTCGTTTGTATTATTCCATTGATCTTTAATTAATTCCCTTCATTCTTTACTCACCTGAAGTTTCTCACATATTTATTTGTTTGTTTTTGTTTTCATTTTTCCTTCATCACGGACTGATTCACTGACATGCGCCGCCTCATGATGTGTGTGTTTATGATCCAGGGTGGAAACTGCAACAAACACTTCTTCTACAAGACACAACTACAGGGTAACACACACACACACACACACACACACACACACACACACACACACACCAAGCCTGTCGTCAAACTCTGTACACACCTGCTCACCTGCCTGATAACACTGAATAATGTGTGTGTGCGTGTGTGTGTGTGTGTCAGGGTCGTGGGCGTGGCCGGCTGCTGCCAGAGAGGGTGAGGCGTTCACTGAACCCGACTCTGTTCAGAAACATAGAGTACGACGTCTGGCACAAGTCCAAGAGAGGTGAACAGTTTACAGTTTATTTCACATTTCTCTTCTCGCAGGAAGTTTAAAGTGTCACAGTGTGAAAATCACTTTAATACAAAACACACAGTGAATGAGTCTCTGCTTCTCTTCTGTATAAACACAACTACCAATTGTGAATCGACCTCGAGCTTGAACTGAATCCAGATTCAATTTTTTTGGGTGATTTTCTTTAATTGAATCTGTTGCCAGACAAACGCTGAGGTCATGTGCCCGAGATGAAAAGGTCAGTGTGATCTCAGTCACGACCCCGGTCTTTAAAGCTCCCAACCACAAGGTCAAAATGAAAAGAAGAGACACTGAACTGAAGCTACAGAGGAACCAACATGGTGGAGATTGTGTTTCCTGCATTAACAGTGAATATAAGTTTGATCTGTGTGGAAAAACACCTTGGAGCCAAAAGTCTGAACCGGCTCCGAGTCACAGCTGCTGCAGCAACGTGCAGATGTTTGAATCAGAGACCCGGAGCTTCAACATTGTAGAGTAGAGTTACCAAGGCAACGGCATCTCACAGCTGGGACTGTGTGTCTGTAAGATTCTGCTGAAGCAGCTGATCAATCGACCAGTTTATTGACTGACTGTCAGATCAAACATTAAGACTCAGAGCGCTCAGTTTAAAGACGTGACGGGCAGTTGTCAATATTTTCTCTGTCTTAAAGATTTAACTATGAATGAATCTTATTTATTAATAACGAGGGATCATTGTCTTTTCTTGTCTGTTTCTTCTTTCAGCCCAACAGAAGATAGATTACTGCATCGCTGCTGGGATGCAATACACTGCAGGAGACCGCTGCCAGGTGTGTGTGTGTGTGTGTGTGTGTGTGTGTGTGTGTGTGTGTGTGTGTGTGAGAGAGAGAGATTTAATTCTGATTATTTTCATGCATACTTACATTCTGTCTCTGTGTGTGTGTGTGTGTGTGACACCTGTAGGTTCGCCTTGAGGGTCGGCACTACAACGCAACCATCAAGGAAGTTCCTCCCAACAGCAACAAGGTGGTGGTTTACATAGAAGAACTGGGCAACAGGTTGGTGACACACACACACACACACACTCATTAAAACTGTGTGAGTTAACGTGAGGCTGTGAACTACAGGTGGAGACGTTTACTCACCTGTAAGTGTAAAAGTTTTTATTTATATTCTTGAGTGTGTTTATAAAATGGAGTCATTGACAGTCGTGCTCCTTCACCTCCAACACGCCTCCTCCACAGGTGTTTTATTGTTAATGAGATGTGACTCCTTCACCTCCAACACGCCTCCTCCACAGGTGTTTTATTGTTAATGAGATGTGACTCCTTCACCTCCAACACGCCTCCTCCACAGGTGTTTTATTGTTAATGAGATGTGACTCCTTCACCTCCAACACGCCTCCTCCACAGGTGTTTTATTGTTAATGAGATGTGACTCCTTCACCTCCAACACGCCTCCTCCACAGGTGTTTTATTGTTAATGAGATGTGACTCCTTCACCTCCAACACGCCTCCTCCACAGGTGTTTTATTGTTAATGAGATGTGACGTGAGTCTTTGTTTCCTGACACTTTAATGTTTGTCAAACATTCTCAGATAAGTTCAGAGCAGAGACGTTAAACCTTTTCCAAACGAGGATCCTGGAGAGAGACGTGGAGTAAATCTGTGTTGACATGAAGCACAGAAGTCGTTAAGCACACGGAGGAACTGACGACGCATCAGCTGTTGATTATTGATCAGTTTAATAACTGACAGTGGTTTGTGTGTTTGCGTGTAGACACGTCCCTCTGTTGAGTCTCCGTCCTGCCGGTGAGGAAGGCAGCTGGAGCACCGTGGTCAACAAGGACAAGAGGCTCAGCAACGGATATGGAGGTGACGGGACCACACACACAGCTGGACACACGCCACACCACCACACACACACACACACACACACACACACACACACACACACCTTTATAAAAGTCAGTGTTTGTGTCACAGCTGCAGAGGAACTGAAACATCTCTCTCTCTGTCTCTGTCTCTGTGTCTCTCTCTCTCTCTCTGTCTCTCAGAGTGGGAGGAGAAAGGTAAAGGCAGAGGCAGGGGGAAGTCCGTCCCATCATCCTCCTCCTCCGTCTCCCAGGCTACGGCGCCGGGCCCCAGTGGGCGTGTGCTGAAGCAGCACTCGTGGCCCCCACAGGCCACCGCCGAGGAGCAGGGAGGGGCCAAAACCAGCAGGTGAGATATATAATCAATACTTTCATAATGTGAAATGTGGTAAGTCTGACACTGGGTTCAGTCGCTCCTGTTGTTCCGTCATTGATCTTGATGTCAGAGCGGAGCAGCTTAAGTTATTCCTGCTGTCTGGAAACCGTCCTCGCGATAGCAAATATTGTAAGCGATCTTATTTTGAAAGGTTCAGCGTGTGTCTTGTGTTCCTGTAGGAAGTCTGTGAGCTCGGCGGAGTCGGCGTTGTTCGGCCTGACGGAGGAGCAGCGTTTGGCCAAAGAGGAGGAGGAGAGGAACGTGGCGTTGGTGGAGATCCAGCTCAGAGACGAACACAGCTTCCCCGCCCTCGGGGTGAGTATGAGGACCTGAGTGAGGACAGGCGTAGGTCTTGTGTCCGACGCCATAAATATGTTTTTATTCCTCTCAGGCTCAGACTGGGACGCAGGGTGATGGAGGGAAGAGGAAGGGAGGAGAGAAGAGAAGATCCCAGAGAAACAAGACGGTGAGTCGTCTCTTGTCTCTACGATCGCCAGGTGAACTGTAGAGACACCTGACACCTGGACACTAATAAAGTTTATTGAATTGAATTGAAGACACGTGTTTGCGTCTGTTCGCTGATTCTCCGTCTTTGTCTTTTACAGAAGAGTCCAGTTGAAGACGTGCGAGCAGCGTCTCCCTCCGCCGGAGACAGACCCAAATCCTCCACGCCTCCACCCACAGCCACTACTGCACCCACTACAGATACTACTACACCCCCCACCCCCCCCCCGCCTGCTGCCCCGCCTGCTGCTGCTCCGTCTGCAAACTCTGACTCCGGCCCGGCGCGGTCGAGCTCGCTCAAGACTGCAGCGCCGGCCTCCACCTCCACCTCCACCCTTCCACCCGCCTCTGCTGCTCTGACAGCTAAAGCTAACGCACAGTCTTATGCTTCAGCTGCTGGAGGTGCAACGACTTCTCCTCCTCCTCCTCCTGCTGCTGCTGCTGCTGCCGCCCCGAGCACTAAACCCTCTGTGACGGGTGCTGCTCCTCCTCCCTCCGTCCCCTCCTCCGCCACCATCTTCTCCTTCATCACCCCTGCTCTCCCCTCTGCATCATCGCCCCCAGCTCCACCCGCCCTCTCCTCTTCCTCTCCTCCCCCCACCTCCTCTTCTTCCTCACTTCCTCCTAAATCCACTGCCTCCCCTCCGCCTCCCTCTTCAGTGCCACCTCCCACTTTCATCGCTCCCATCGCTCCCTCTCCTGTCGCTGCTCAGGGCTTCCTCCCTCCCTCCTCTCTCCACCGTTCCCCCCCGCCTGTCCACTCTCTCCCCCACTCCCCCAGTCCACCCACCTCCTCCTCCTCCTCCTCCTCTCTTGTCCATCGTGCTGCTCAAGTCCAAGATCCTCCAGCAGCTCCAGCACAAACTGCAAGTAAGAAACTTCAGACTCTGATTCCTGACTTTTTATTGATCAGTTAACTTCGAGTTCTTCTGTCCTGTTTGAAACCTGAGACCAGGATCTGATTCCGTCCTAAAACACCTTCATCGTTGGTTTGTTCATTGTTCATTTCGGGTGTGGATGCCGATTGTTCCCTTTTCTACTGTCGACTAAAGCCTGATGTTAGCGGCTCTCAGCTGCACGTCTGTTGGCCGAGTCGCAGCAGGATTTAAGGCGCCGTGATCGTCTAATCTGACTTAATCTCATTAGAGGATCCTGTGCGTCTCTGAGCAGGTGATAATCTCTCCCGCTCTCACTCCTCTTTTCTCTCTTCTCAGGTTCTTTGCCGAGTTCTGGATCCTCTCTGACGACATCTCAGGTCTCACTGACCCAGGACATTCAGCCGCCGCCTCCTCCCCCGAGCGTCCAGACTCAGAGTGCGGCTCCTCTCCCCCAGGTGCAGACAGAGGCCCCGCCCTCTCTTCCTCACCTCCAGCATCAGCCACAGACCCTCGCTGAAGTGGCTCTCCCTCCGCCGCAAAACCAGATCCAGGTGTCCCTCCCTCAGACCCAGACTCAGGTCCAGTACCCCCCCCAGCCCCAGTCTGAGATGGTTCAGTCCTCTCACCCACCTCCAGGAGCTTCCTACCCCCCCACCTGCCAGGCCTCCGTCCCCGTCTCTGCCCCCGCTCAACCCCAGCCATCAGTCACCCACGCTCAGCCTCCTCCCCCCTCCCAACTCCCGCATCCCTCCCTCTCTATCTCCGCCCCCCCGACCCATCCCTCTCTCCAAACCCAGACCCCCAACATCCAGAATCAAACAGAAGCCCCTCACCCTCCACCTCAGCCCGAGTCCCCGGCTCATCCTCCTCACCCCCAGGTAGTCTCCGCACATCCCCCTCCCCCGCCTCACCCCCAGTCCATCCCAGGAGCTGTTCCTCTGCAGAAGCTGTCCCAGCTCTACCAGGACCCCCTGTACCCCGGTTTCCCCCATGGAGAGAAGGGCGACGTGGTGCCGACTCCCCCGTTCTCCTCCAGCAAGTCGGGCGACGACCTGCCCCAAGGTGAGCCGGGCGACATTAACATGATGGTTTATACGGAAATGTTTCTTGTTTGGTTTTACTCACAGTCAGGCTGATGTTTGTTTGTTTGTTTGTTTGTTTGTTTGTTTGTCTGTCTTCCTCTGCAGATGTCAACATCCTGAGGTTTTTCTTCAACCTGGGAGTCAAGGTGAGACGACGACGTCAAGAGATTTTATTTGTTTAGAAAAAACTGGAACTAGAAGAAATGTGTTTAAGATGATTTGTGCTTTTTAATTAGTTAGTAAGTAGTAATTAATTAATTAGTTAGTAATTAGTTATTAATTAATTAGTAGAGAAACTATGAAATAAAGACTCTTCAACAAAGAGTTTAAATTTGTTACAGCTCTGAGCGACTCCTCCGTTTTCTTTGTGCAGTGCATTGTGGGGGATTAGTGTCTGCATCAAACTTTAATTGGTTCCAAACTGACTTCTCTCCCTGCGTCTGCCCCCCCCCCTCCCCTCCAGGCGTACTCCATGCCCCTGTTCCCCCCCTACATATACCTCCTCCCCCTCCAACAGGCCCACACCATGCAACACAGGATCCCCTCCCGCTCCTCCTCCCCAACCCCCCACTTCCCTCCCTCCAACGCCCCCTCCAGCCACCAGGAGGCGTACCCCCAGTACCCTCCCACTTCGGCGTCGGTGCTGCATCAGTACGACCACCAAGCCGCACCCGCTGAGCCCCCCCGTCCCAGTGAACCGTCCTTCAACCAGGCCAGGTACCCCGTCACCCAGCCTCCGCCCCACAGGATGCCCTGCACCTCGCTGCCATGGCAACAGCACCAGATGCCCCCACCTAGAGGCTCCAACTACGCGTACCCCACTCCACCATACCCAGTTCACCCTTCTTCGTCTCAGGGTTACCACCAGAGTCAAGGCCCAGGACACCCAATGTACCCCCCGCCCATGCCTCCATACCCCCCATCCTCGCTGGGATACCAGTCCTCATCCACCCCCGAAGAGCTCCAGGTGAGTCAGGGGCTGATGGAGCAGCTTCAGCCCGTCAACGGAGACACGATGCTTGGGCACGGGCCTGGACGAGTCCCCGGTTCTCTGGAGGGTCCGTCTGCTGCTAACATGGCTAACGCTAACAACAACAGAACAATGGTGGTTCCAAGCAGCTTCGGTAGGTCGACGTTTTTTATGTTACAACATAAGATGTCACGAAATTTTAATCAGAGTACAAAGGATTTCTGGGTAATGGAGTTCTTACATTTCAGGCAGTTTGTGTTTCTGCCACCAGGGGGAGCAGAGGAGCAGAATTTTAATATAAAGTTTGGTTTGATTTTCTTTCCATCAGCGATGAAGAAGCCGCAGGGAGAGAGTTTGACTAAAGCCGTGCTGCTGGTGGATCCACCACTCAACAACAGACCGATAGTACGCACACACACACACACACACACACACACACACACACACACAGTAGTAGTAGAAATACTGGTACTATTAACACATTAGTAATATTAAGTAGTAATAGTGTTTACAACATAGTAGCAGTGGCAGGATTAACACAGAAGTAATATTTAGTAGTAGTAGTACTGTAAGTGGAGTACATGTAGTATTAGTAAGTGCAGTAGTGTGGTGTAAAGATAAAACATTAGAAACAAATTAAAAACACATGATGCACATGAATTGAAAACCATTAAGAGCAAGAACCGATGAGTAAAAAAGGTTTGTGAAACATATTTATATATGTATATATATATATGTTTCATAAAAATAATAATAATATAATATAAAAATAATAAAAGTCAAATATAAATTAGTCGTATTAATGTATTGTAGTAGTATATGTAGTGGTGGTAGTACTGACACAGTAGTAGTAGTACTAGTATTAAAGTTGAGGCGGTCTGTGTCTCTCAGGTCGCTCTGGTCTCTGACGCCTCCGACGTCCCCGTCTCCATGATGACCATGAAGCCCGGCAGCAGCCCCGGCTCTCCGTCACCTTACATCTCCAAGACGACCGTCTCCGGCGACAACGGCACCTACCGGCTCCACCAGAAACCATTCAACCCCAACAAGCACCTGTCGACCATGCCCATGGTGGAGGTGCTGTCGGTGGGCTGCGGCACGGAGGACGAGTGGGACGAGATGGAGGGATTCAAACCTCAAACCCACAACCTCAGAGGGCCGAGGAGGGGCTACAGAGGAAGAGGGAGGGGGGGGAACAGGAGGAGGCAGGGAGGAGAGGCGGGGCCGGGGTATAACCACGGTCCGTATGTGCCCTCACACAGGGGGCAGGGCTGGTAAAAAAAAAAAGCTACAAGCTGTCAGCCAATGAGAGGAGAGGACGCAAGAAGATTGTTTTTTTTGTTTGTTTTTTCCTTCTTTGCCTTTTCATGTTCTCGCCGGAGCTCGTTTGGTTTCAACTCGCTCTTAATCGCACTTTTTCTGTCTTTTGTCTTGGTTTTTTTTTTTTTTCTCGTCACCACCTAGAGATCTAATTGGTTGATCGGTCCGTCGTCTCCGTAAATCATCACGGCGTCTTCTGCGCCACATTCTGAGGTGGGGGGGAAATCATAAACTCTATTCGTGTGCTTCGGTGTGTCGAAATCCTCCGGCTCGTGGAAACAAAAAACACTATCGATCTCATTATTAGCTAGCTAATTAGCTTAGCATGTTAGCAAGTGCGAGTTTACATGTCATTTTAAATTTCTCAGCAGTTGCACATGGATTTAAAGAACTGAAGGGTGTGTTTTTCGAGCGGAGCTGCAGTGATTAATCGGTTTAAAGTCGTTTGCCAAGAAAATGTTGGAAAATTGTGAATAACTTTCTTAAAAACAGCTCGTAACAATTAGTTGCTGATCATTTTTGTCACTCGACTTCATCAACTAATCGCTGCAACTCTTGTTTTGTGGATTTCAAACATCTTCAGTAGAGCTGCGTATGATTTGCTGCCATGTCAATGTGACGTTAGGTTAAAAACTTGGGAGTTTTCATACTCGTGTTTTTTATTTAACGCGTCATCTAACTGCATTTTACTTTAAAGATATAGTTTAGACATTTTTGGGGATGTTTTCTCTTTTCTGCTCAGAGTTGGATGAGAAAGTCGATACCAGCCTCACGTAGGGTAAATATGATAGCAGTTAGCTTAGCTTAGCATAAAAACAGCCCAGGCAAGAAATAATACATCATAAAAATACAAATTGTCCTTTTTATGCTTCAGTTTTGTATATACTCAACAAATCAGATATAACGCGGCTACCTGATTCCCCCTTTCCAGTCTTTATGCTAAGCTAATGTAGCATATTGAGCTTACAGACATCCATTTTCTCATCTCACTCTGCAAGAAAACAAACAATTCCCCTGAATGTTGAACCAGTCCTTTAATAACAGATGAAGTTTCATATTTTCTGGCATCCCTCGAACGCAGCTCGTCCACCGACCACCAGGCGTGTAAACACATATCAGTAAAAAAGCATCAACCAAGTGAAGTGATCTCTTCTTCCCAGGGTCTGTTAGCACTGCGAGCTTGAAACAAACTTTGTTTTAAGAGGATTAAAGCAACAAAAAAAAAAAAAATCAGATGAAATCTGATCTGAGAACAGCTTTAAGAGTTGTACTTGCTGCTACAAAACCACACAAGCCAAACTGTGTGTGTGTGTGTGTGTGTGTGTGGACTTTGTTTAGATTTGTATTTTTTACTTGTTTGTGTTGCTGCTGGTTGGGTTAGGGTTAGGGTTAGGGTCTTCTTTCCTTTCCCTCTGATCGACTTCAGACTGTAGAGATTCAGTGCCTTACGTTTGCTACTTTTACCGTCTTATTTCTTTTCTCTCTTTGAGTTTTGAGAAACACTGCTGTACAGAACAAAGGCTGTTTACTGGTGTCTGTGTGACAAATAATAAAACTTTGGTTCAGATCGTGCTTCTCTCGGTTCTCTGGTTTAATTAAAACGTCATCACGGAATCCATGTTTTTTTGGCGTAATCTGAAATATGATTAAAGATAAATGTAAATAACTATTTGATCCTTGTTTTGAGGTCAGATCTTCTCACCTTCTTTTAATCTCACCAGCACATCCATTAAGTATCTTGTCTTTTATTACTTGTACAAACACCCTAATTACTCTCCACACCATTACATCTGTGTAATAACATTGGAAACCATCTTTTCCTGAGGATGTGAGGCCTCCAGTTTTCTTTTGTCCATTACTGCGAGTCGTGTAAATATGAGTTTCCTTGTTGTGATTACGAGTCCGAATTTATCGTAGACACTATTTGCAAGTTGGAAACTATTAATACAACTAATAATTAAAGTAACAAACGTGAATGCAGCATCAAACCCTTCGCAGTCTGTGGCCCGAGTCTTTACTCTGCAGGACGCCACACAACATATAGTTTCATTTGTTTAGTAGAAAAAGGCAGAAATAACAAAAGTATCCGGATCTATAAAAGTAGTGGCGTTAAAATCTCAGTGATTCCCATTCCCCAGTGCTGACTCTGCACAGGACTGTCGCATTCAAAACGTAGAAGAAAACAATCACAAACAGTCATTAAAAGTTTATTATTCGATCTTTATGAATAAATAAAAACACAAATCAGGTTAGTAAACATTTACAAAATAAGGCTTGTCAAGTGCATCATTGCTACATTTAACACACAGATGGGTGACAAAATGGTTGGAGTCCTTTGATGGGGGAGGAGAAGTGAGAAATGATCCAGACCAGGGTGAACTGGGCCTCCTCCTCTGATGCAACTCTCAGCATGAGATGTTCATTCCTTAATTGTACCGACGGCCGATATGGAAGCATCTGAAACTGTTCCCTCATTTATTCAGGTTTTTCTCTGAATTTGTCACCCGTCTGTAGTTGCCCTCGTCAATCCAGAGTACACATAACATACATTCATTAAGAGTAGTTACAAAAAAACCCTAAAGCAGTTATTTGGCAAAGTGTCCCATATTTCATCACAGTGATTGTAGGTTGCAATATTCTGATCATCTTACTCCGGCTCAGATTCAGCCGCCGGTCACGGGACACCAGTCAGACATCAGACATCGCAACCCTCTACAGTTCAGTTAAAACAGCACTGAATGTGATTGGCTGATATTGGCCTATCACAGATATACCAGTATTGGCGTAAGAAGTAATACAGTGGAAATACAAATTATAAAAAGGTATATAAATTAATATTTGATCCTTCGTTTTCATTCAAGTAAAATATATATATA